AATATGCCTAATTAAGGAAGGAACATTAATTTCTTTTTCTATATAAAAAAGAGAACCATTGAATCAAGAGTTAGCTTTTAAGAAGGTCAGGGGGATGCATGAGGGTCATTTTATTGGTGGAGAGAGGGATTGAAACCTAACTAATGTTTCTTGGACAATGTTACATATATTTAATATGATGACTTAATGAATCGTTGTCATTGATTTAAATGTGGATTTCAATAATTATTGGAACCCACTATATATTCAATAATTATAATTAATCAAGTCAACAAATTAAATCAATTTTTAAAATCGAAATAGCATTTTTCTTTTGTGAGTGAAAAAGGAGATTGAGTGGGGAGGGGTTAGCTGAAATTTGATGCACCATAGGAGTTTTTATTTGGGAGTAACAACTTAAGGAATATTTCAAAATACAAGTAAATATTAAATGATAAATGCATGGATAACTTTAATGCACCCCCATGCATAGAGTGACATTTTGATTACTTTATTAATCTATAATACTGCAAACCCTCACACCAAAATTCTCAAATGTAAATAATGTCAGTTTTGAATCTTAGACCCAAATTCACTATCTAAATTTTAATCTTTTTGTGAGCTTTGAGCAAATAAATTCATGAACCTGTCAGCATTGGGTCTACCAAAATTGTTTGGGATGTTCTTTAAAAAGCTAAACAAATTAGAAAATTTTGTTTGGAGTGACTTTTTAGCTTTTTTTTTGCCTTTTTTTTTGTGTCAAAATAAACAAAATAATTATATATATGTATAGATTATGCATAATAGTTCTTAAAATGTGAATTTTATTTTTTTTTACGTCACTAATAATATTTTTGAATATAATAAACTAAAAAGTTATATGAGATCCGGGACAAAACTCCGAAAAGTCACAAAAAAATCTCATAAAATCATTGTCTTGAATTAGGCAAAATAAGTTTTTTGGGTCTAAAAAGTTGCAATATAAATTGGTAAAAAAACCAAGGTCCAAATATACCCGACTTATTTCACTCTAAAACTTTTAAAATTTACCATTTAAGTTCATTCCAAACATGGTCATTATTTATCTATACAATGTTTCTATGCACCTAAATCTTCTTACCCCAAAGCAGGAAAATTTGAACATACAAAAGAGTGAAAGTTTGACCACAAATTGCTATGGGTATTTTAATGGCAATTAAAATTAAATTGTTAAATATATTTGATAATGAATGAGAGAATTCAATGGAGATAGGTTAGGTTCCAATTCAATTGCGAAAAAATCGGAGTACGAAGATCTATCCCTGATGGCAAGTACAATTCATTTTAAATTTTAAAAATTAAACTTACTTTTACAATAAGATAAGATTTATCGATATCGACGTATCTTTATTATTTATGCTCTGTTTGGTAGGAAAAATTGAAAGCAGAGAGAGTGAAAAGTAAGAGGGATATATTTTCTATCATCCAAGGAAGGAAAGTAGGAATAATACACTTTCCTTCTTTTGTGTTTGGTTGAATGGATGAAAAATAAAAATGACTAAATTTTTTTTTTTTTGCTGGCTAAGATTAGAAGTGACAATCGAGTTGAACATTAGTCAAACCTAACTCAACTTATTTAACTAATTGTGTCGTGTCGAGTTGCGAGTTAACCTGTTTATTTTCGTGTTGTGTCCGTGTTGATCTATTTTTAATTAAAAAATAAATCCGGATTTTTAATTAAGATGGAAAAAATATTTTTTTTAAATTAAAATTAAAATTTTTATTTTTTATTTTTAAATTTATTTTTAATTTGAAATTAATGTATATATAATATATGTACATATCAAAAAATATATAAACAAATAAGATATATCTCAATACAAATAATTAGTTTTCCTTCCGATTTTGGATGGATTAATTTTGGCGAGTTTGAAAGAAAGTTAATCCATCCACTTTTCCATTCTTCATATTTTCTTTCCTTACCAAACATAATATTTTATTTAACCCTCAAACTTTCCATCATTTTAGTTTTTCATCTTTCAATTTTTTTATCATATCAAACGGAGCATAATGAGAATTAATCCTACTTATTTGAAGAAGTGCCCCCAAAAGATACTCTTAGGATCCTATTAACAAAGGTCCATAAAATTCCATCTCTTTTTTTTTGTCATCATGTCCTATTAAGACCTTATTCTTTTTGAATTAATTTTAACAAATTCCTCTTCTAGTAGATAGTATAATTTGTTTGATTTCAAGGGGTAATGTTGCAAATATGAGAGGGTGAGATTAGGGTTTCACTCATGCCAAATTATACCTCAATCTTTGCCCAAAGTTTCACATGTAACATTTTCGACACAATTAGATTGATCAATCTCCGGAAGAACTAGCTGAAAATTTTATCACTTCAGGGGTGGAGGGATTGGAAAATTGAAGAACAAAGTATGTCTATTAGCAAGAAGAAATTATAAACACTATTGAAATCAAGTACAAGCATTTGTAACTAAGCAAATGAGCACGATGACATCTTTTACATGCAATTATGGCCATTTCCGAAAACAAAGGAAGATCTTTTCAAAATATACCTAGAAATTATCACTAAAAACACACCGTAATAAGAAAATATTCAGTACTTATCAGGTATCAGGCTGTCAATGACAGCTGATACTCATCGCTAATCAATGGATGTCACCTCATATTCTGTCATTGACAACTGGTACTCATTACTAATCAAGAGATGTCACCTCAATGTAGGTTGTCCTTCAATTTTTCTCTCTTCATTGCCTATCTTGAGGTGACATCCGTTGATTGGTGATGAATACCAGCTGTCATTGACAGCCTGGTACCTGATAAGTACTGAATATTTTTTTCACCGTAATTTCTATTTGAGCAATGCTATATGGATTTAAAAACTAGAATTGATAATTACAATCATTGATTTTACTGTGAGTCTCACTATTTATTAGGATCCACTACCTATTCAATGGTTGAAATTATCAAGTTTAATTTTTAAGTTCATCTACCATTATTCTTTTAATTTCTATTTCTATTTTTGCCCTCCTTGCGGCCATGCATTTATTAAGCATCTTATTACTAACNGGCTAAGTATGCGAATAAAGCCACTTATGTTTCTATATAAAACTCGAACAGTACATCAAATGATTCATATGTTCAGAATCAGATGAACACTGCAACATAAATATTACAAAAGAAATTGCAAAATTTTGAAGAAAATTAAAAAGAAGCATGTATTATAATATTCGCCAAGCCATTGTCACACTCATCCACGAGTAATTAGACCAAATTTAACTATTTTATAGCACAAAGTGAAAAGAGCGTGTTTATGCGCACGCGCGTGTGTGCGCATATATATATATATATAGAGAGAGAGAGAGAGGGGGGGGGGAAAGAATAGCTTACCATCAAAGACACCAAAAAGACCAACNGAGGATATGGAATTGGACTCGCCATGATTTATACCACTTTAAATGACCTTTTTGCCCGCGCCCACTTTTAGTGGTCGCTTGAGTACCATGTGACGAAAAAGTCTACAACTTCCCCTCTCTCTCTCTCTCTCTCTCTCTCTCTCTCTCTCTCTCTCTCTCTATATAAAGCACAACTCTCTCAAGTCTCAACGTGAGACCCTATATAAAGCACAACTCTCTCAAGTCTTAACCCTACAGTACAGTTCCAAACAGCAGTCTTTGATATCCAAAGCCTTGGTTACAACCATGTTTACGTCTTTTCTTCTGTTTTTCTCTCTAGGGCTTCTTCTTCTGTTCGTCTTCTTCTTCTTCCTCTTTTCGTTCAATCAAAACATCTCTCCTAAATACATAAAACTCGCTTCAATTAATTGCCCCCCATCTTACCCTCTCATTGGCTGTCTCGTTTCCTTCTACAGAAACCGTCGCCGGCTCTTAGATTGGTACACCGACCTCTTGTCTGAGTCACCGACTCAGACAATCGTCTTGAAACGGTTCGGTGCACGGCGAAACGTTGTCACTGCTAATCCCGATAACGTTGAGTACATGCTCAAAACCAACTTCAACAACTATCCAAAGGGTCGACCCTTCACAGAAATACTCGGTGACTTTCTCGGCTTCGGAATATTCAATGCCGACGGCGAGTTATGGAGCGTCCAACGCAAACTGGCAAGCCATGAGTTCAGTACAAAGTCACTGAGAGTGTTTATGGTAAAGACACTTGAAGACGAAGTCCAAAACCGCCTTATCCCTATGCTCGAAAAAGCAGCGGAGGAGAGAGAAACAGTTCTGGACTTGCAGGAGGTGCTGAGGAGGTTCACTTTTGACACGATTTGCAAGGTTTCATTAGGGATGGATCCGTGTTGTTTGGACCTTTCGAAGCCTCTTCCACCTCTGGTTAAGGCCTTTGACTGCGCATCAGAGCTCACCGCTCTGCGTGGAATGGCACCTGTGTTTGCTGTGTGGAAAACCAAGAGAGCATTGAACATTGGGTCTGAAAAAAGGCTTAGAGAAGCTATTGAGCTTATTCATGGCTGTGTCTCCGAGATGATTCAAAGTAAGAGAGAGAAAGTAGAAGAAAATGGGGGAAAAATTTATGACCACGATCTGTTATCGAGGTTGTTATTGGTTGGGCATGAAGCTGAGGTTGTGAGAGATATGGTGATAAGCTTTTTAATGGCCGGAAGGGACACCACATCGTCGGCGATGACATGGCTCTTCTGGTTAATTTCGAGGCATCATAAGATCGAAAAAGAGGTTCTGGACGAAGTTACTTCGCTGAACAATGGTGAAAAGCCGTTAGATTTTGAGGATTTGAAGGAGATGAATTTTATAAAGGCTTGTTTGTGTGAGTCCATGAGGCTCTATCCACCGGTGGCATGGGACTCGAAACACGCCGGAGAAGATGACGTGTTGCCGGACGGTACACTGGTGTACAAGGGCAACAGGGTGACCTATTTTCCGTATGGAATGGGGAGGATGGAGGAGTTGTGGGGTAAGGACAGGTTCGAGTTTAGACCAGACCGGTGGTTTGATGAACTCGGAGTCGGAAAGGAAGGTGGAGGGTTAAAAATGGTGAGTCCGTATAAGTTTCCGGTGTTTCAGGCCGGTCCAAGGGTATGTCTTGGGAAAGAGATGGCTTTTATTCAGATGATCTATGTGGTGGCTACGGTTTTGAGGCGGTTCGAAATCAGACCTGTGGGTTCAGACCAACCGGTTTTTGTTCCTTTCTTGACTGCTTATATGGCTGGTGGGTTGAATGTCAGGGTCACTAGAAGGGGCAGTTAACTGAGCCCTCTGTATGGGGCTCGGTTTGTTAACTGAAATTTGCTGTACTGGTGCTTAGAACTTGCACAATATCTGCTCTTTCCCATTTATCTCTTCCGTTTTTGTTTGTTTGGTTTTAAATGTTCAATAGAAAACCTAAGCATTAATATAATATATAAAGAGTGCTATGCATATAAAAAAAAAATAATTAAGAAATATTATTTGGACTTAATTTGATGATCTAATCTGGAGTCTTAGTCAATTATAGTTGTTCAATTGAAAATGAGTTCTATCTAACATTGAAAGTTATTGTAGAGACAAAAAATTGGTAATACCTCAAATGATGAATTTGTGATGTGATTTCTGAAAAGAATTTTGAACTGTTGTCTCTCAATCTTCTTTCTGCAAAACGAACAAACTATCCAAAGTCGAAGAGCTTCGATCGAAAGCACTCCGATGCTTAAGTCAGTAATAAAATAAAAAGAATTGCACGAAGACCAGGAGATTTCAGCGTATCTTTCACTTTGGTCTCTTCTGATTTTTATGTCATTATCCCCTTAGGGTTTCCACGATTTTAGATTCAAGGTGGCACACCTTCCTTTAATTCAGTAGTTGAGTTTGGGAAGCAATTGATACTTCTCCAACAATTTCTCTTGATATCTTCAATCTCCTTGATTTTGTTTATCTGATTACCAGGATTTTAGGCGAATATTTAACTTTCCTTTTATCGTTTTGAACTGCTCGGGCATTTCGAATGTCGAGCTCAATTAACTTTTGCCAAACTGTTTGAAAACTTGGCTTGGCACAAACTGTGCATTCTGGAGATCTGGGCTTGGTACAAGCCGAGCACTTTCCTTGCATAGCTGAAGAGATTCATGAGCTCGGTAAATTGAGCTGACCTCTTTTCTTTGTTTGCCTAATTCACTGATCAGTTCGGGTCGAATCATAAGATCAGGTGGATGACTTCTTCGTCATGTGATCCATCTTGTCAATTTTATGTGAGCTCATTTAATGTTCTAACACGTGTAATTTTGAGGGCTAGCCCCTTCATTTGCCCCTAAAAAACGTCTGACAGACGCCTTTCTTCTGTCAGCCATTTTCTTGAGTTCTCATCATTACTATTTGTACATTGGAGCATCCCCCTTTGTTTTGGCGGCATATTCAGGGCATTTTAATACGACCATTTGAAATTCCTTCCTCTTCATAAACCGCCTCTTTCTTCGCATTTCCTTCACTTTGCTTTTTGCTTTCTGACTCCTATTCTCTCTCAGTTTTACTTATATGTTTCGTCTTTCTCGAATTTACTTCATTTTTTCTTCAATGGCTCCTCTAACTCCTTTTGAGGTTCCCGCCTTCAAAGTTAAGTACAACATACCAGATGACGTTGACGTCAGAGTCATCGGAAAGGAAAAGCTTCTAATTGGCACGAGAGAGAGAGAGAGGATCCCTATTCCTACTCGTGCCATTACCGAAGGTGGAATCTGTTTTCCCCTTGACCCTCTTCTTCTCTGGATCCTTTCTGCCTCAAAACTTTGTCCTTTCCAGTGTTGCCTCTAATTCTTCCAAATTGTCATGGAAGTTTCTTCTCTGAATAAGCTTCTTGGTTTAAGTCTGGGGTTATGGGAGATTTTGTACTGCTATATCATCAAGGCCGCTGAAGATAGCTACTATCTCTCAGTGAGGAAGAAGAAGAGATAACTGGTCACACATCTTCCTGACTCGAATAAGGGTCATGAAAATGATGTTATTTTTGTCTCCGACAACTGGGAATATGCCCCTCGGTGCTACCCCATCCTACCGTTGCCCTTACGAAGAAGGCTTGCCAGGTACTTGCTTTTTTTTTTTATCTGCTACGGTGCTGGTGTAGGAGAGACTGTGAAAGGCAAGGTCCCTGAGTCTTCTGTGAAGTTGGATCAACTTCAGAAGGTTTGAGACTTCAATGAATCGTTTTTCTACTGAGCTGCCCACACCCTACTTGGGTACACACCAACTTACTCATCCTTCATAGCTGTGCCGAACCGACCTAATGCAACTCTCGCAGCGGATTGAGAGGCTGTCCAAGCTGCTCGGGAGAAGGCACCCCGAGGAAAAAAGAGAACCTTTCAAGCAGCCAGTGGACGCAAATCAATTAACCTTCTAGATTTTTTATCTGCACATGAGCCCGTTCCGTCCAGTCAACTGCCGAGCCTCAGATTATTGTCCTTAATGAGCCGATCCTCGAGGTCATCCCTGATGAGACTCTACCTGTAGCCGTTGATGCAAGTCTGCCCCTATTTGACCAAACCAGTTTAGCACCAGAAGTTGAAACTTCTTTTCCAATTGAGACAGACCCTCCAATCGTTGTTCACTCCCCAGTTGAAGACGACTATTTGGTTTTTGAGATTGTAAGACTGAGCTCCGAAGAGGCATAAGACAACAGAATTCGAAGCCCCTTCTTCACCAAGGCCAGCTAACGCCCCTTTTCGCCCTGTTCTTAGGGCCAAAAGAAAGGAAATTACTTCAAAAGACTCAGCAATTGAAGACTTCAATGTTGTAGTTGGCCTTGCTAGGGGAGTCATCTTGCCTCGGGACCTTTCAAAGAACAAGGTGCTAACAGATGATGAAGTGTCCCGACAGGCCATTCAGCATATGGTTTTAGTAAGTCTATCTCCTTTTCTTTTGAGCTTCTTATTACTTCTCGAAAATGTATCTAAGTTATTTCAATCTTCTTACTTTCTAGGATCTTCAAAAAGTTCATGAGGTCGGAGCTCGGATTGCACGTAAAGACAAAGCGATGAAAGATGTAATCTATGCCCGAGCTTCGACCCTTGCCAAGAAAGAGAGTGTTGTTGAAGAATACGTCAAACTTTGCGAAGAGATGAAGGTTCTGCAGGCTAAAAACCAAAGTCTGTCCGAAGAGAACCTGAAACTTTGTTCTGAGAATGAAAAGTTGAAGGCATCCGAGCACGAGACCAATGTTGAACTCTCTCAAGCCCAGCTTGACTATTCCATACTCCTTGAGGAGTTTGATCAATACAAAGTAGAAGCTGAAGAGAAGGCAGACGCTGCTTACAATGAGGGTGTTGACAAGGCAGAGGCTGATATTGCCCAGCAGATGCCTAAGCTCAAAGAGGCACTATTCTGCCAAGGCTGGCAGGCTGCTTTAGTTGCTGCCGAAGTCAATCTCTCTTCTGAACTTTTCTCCAAGCATACTCTTTCGAGCTCGTCCCAGCCACCTTCCTGNACAAGGCAGAGGCTGATATTGCCCAGCAGATGCCTAAGCTCAAAGAGGCACTATTCAGCCAAGGCTGGCAGACTGCTTTAGTTGCTGCCGAAGTCAATCCCTCTTCTGAACTTTTCTCCAAGCATACTCTTTCGAGCTCGTCCCAGCCACCTTTCTGCTGATGACGACTTACAAAAAATTTGCAATCCATTTTTATCTTGTATTTTCCAGAACTTTTTGTATTTTTGAATGAAAAAATTACAACTTTTATGCAATATATTTTAATGAATGCTCATTTCAGTTCTGTAATTTGCGTTGATGAATGCTTAGATAAAATTTTAACTCATAGCATAAAAATCTTTAAGGCTTATTGAAGTTATGGCCATTGCTCGGTCCTTCTCCAAAGAGCTTGGTTCCCCTTCTAAGACTTTCTTTTCTGCTTAGAAAATACTTAGTCTTTGAAGTTGTGGCCTCTGTTCGGCCCTTCTTCAAATACTTCGGTTCCTCAACAGGGACCCTTTTGTTCTTATAAAATATTCGAGTTTTTGAAGTTATGGCCCTTGCTCGGCCCTTCTTCAAAGAGCTCGGTTCTTCTTTAGGAACCCTTTTCTACTTAGAAAATCTTTGAGTCTTTGAAGTTATGGCCCTTGCTCGGCCCTTCTTCAAAGAGTTTGGTTCCTCAGCAGGAACACTTTTTATACTTAGACAATATTTGAGTCTTTGAAGTTATGGCCCTTGCTCGGCCCTTCTTCAAAGAGCTCGGTTCCTCAGCAGGAACACTTTTTATACTTAGACAATATTTGAGTCTTTGAAGTTATGACTCTTACTCGACCCTTCTTCAAACAGCTTGGTTCCTTGGCAAGAACACTTAGAGAATCTTTGGGTCTTTGAAGTTATGGCCCTTGCTTGGCCATGCTTCGAAGAGCTCGGGTGATCCGTAGAGTTACTCAGAGTCCTCTGAAAGATTGAGTGTTTCTACTCCACACCAACCCGCCAACCTGGTTGGACTCAAATCCATCCCTAGTTAACTTGCATCGTCATGCCTAGCTGAGGGACTAGGTCTGATCGGGTGGCTGTGCCTTATTTAAGTAGATAACTTCTATCCGGATTTTTTGCCTCCCTACCTTAGCAGTAGGATGTGTATAAGAACGATACGAATAAGGAAATCTTCAAATACTTTTATTAATAATTCTCAACTCAGTACACTATCAATCACAGATCAATTCTTAAGGGGCACCCTTAAATTTTCAAAGGCACTTTGGAGCTCAACTTTCTAAGATTTGCAATGTTCCAGGGGCGTGGTACCGTTTTACGATCTAGGGTTTCTAATTCGCAGTACCCACTGCCCCTACTCTGGATACTCTGAATGGCCCTTCCCAATTTGCCCCGAGCTTCCCATGTGCTGGGTTTTTAGCCAATCCCAGTACGCGCCTAAGAACTAGGTCACCAAGTGTGAAAGACTGGGAGTTCACATTCTTGTTGTAAGCTCGGGAAAACTGACTACGATATGAAGCCATTCTTATAGCAGTATGTTCTCTCTTTTCCTCAACTAAATCAAGATCACGTGTGATGACGACATTATTGCTGCTACTTTCACCGAGCTCGGTAAGCCGATCTCTACGGGCATAACAACTTTCATTCCATAAGCTAAGGCGAAGGGAGTCTCTCTGGTTGGCTACCAAGGTGTGGTTCGGTATGTCCACAGAACACTCGACAGCTCTTCTACCCATCTCCCTTTAGCATTCTCAAGCCTCTTGATTCTATCCAAGATTGCTTTATTAGTGATCTCTATTTGCCCGTTGCTTTGAGGGTAAGCCGGGGTG